TAGAAAAATTCTTACGGAAATTTTTAAAAAGGTAAAAAGGATTAAACAAGGAGCTTTCAGCAAAATGAATGGAATTAAAAATAAATGTGGTGAAATGATGTGAGATGAAAATTAAGTGAGGGAATGCTGGAAGGAGTATTTTAGATACTTGTATGAAAGTAAGAGTGATATGTGTCAGAATGGAACTGAAACGAATGCTAGAAATATTACTGTCCAAGAAAAAAAATAAGGAAAAGTAAGTCATAAATGCAGTGAGAACGTTGAAAAATGATAGGTGCTTTTGTCATATAGAGAGAATGTAGGAGGATTTAATTGCAAAACAAATATCTGAAAGAAGAGTGGATGTCTTGAGAACAGGCAAAAGAATAAAAATGTCACCACTGGGTCGAATTGATGAGAACCTCAAAAAGAAAAGGTGAGAAATGTAAAGAACAAAAGGGAAGTTATGAAGCAGTATATGCATATGGTAGAAGTAAGGATGGTTTGCAAGGGGAGAAAGATATGGAGAGACATAATGAATAGTGGTGGCGCTAACAGCAATCCCACATACATAACTATTAAGAAAAAATCCCACTGAACTGTTAACAAATTAATGAGTAAATGAGATAGGAACCTACTGCAGAGCCACAAATCTGCTTGCAGGCTATTTAAATTCCACTGAAGTTAATATAGCTTAAGTGGCAAAAGTGCTCTATGCATTCCATAGATGGAAACAGAGATAAAGTTCCATATTTCTAAGTAGATTGTTATAAGTGAGAAAGTAACTGGTAGCCAACCACGAGAACAACAATTTAGACACATTTTCTTGGCTATAAAAATAATAGAGATCATGCAATATGTGAAATTCTTTAGAAGGACCTATTCTGACAAAATCCATTTCAAAATTCTGGCTGTTCGCTTTCCATAAGTCAAATAAATATTGCACATTGACACAACTCACTCTTCATTTCTTGCTAAAGCCAATTTGCATTTCTGCACAAGAGCCTGTATTTCATTTCTGCTCTCTTCTATTTCATGAGTCATCACCATTCTTTTCTTCATGCCTTTGAATTCCTCCTGCAAGGTCTATTTTATTATAGAAAAACAAATGAAACATTTAACTATTCCAGTCATAAAGAAGAGTAAGAACTGTAGCAAAACCTATTTATGCATTTTTTTCTTAATTGGACATCCTGCAAATTTGTCTTCCCTATCAAGAATTAAGATTTAGTTTACAACAGAGACGGGGAATCTGTAGCCTTATAGATAATGCTGATGTCCAGTCCTTAGTTTCAGCCTGCATAGTATAGGGAATGGGATTTGCCATTCAAGGACATCTTGATTACTATTTCCCCATCTCCATATTGCAACTTTCTTTTCATTTTGATGCAAGAATGTAAATGAATAGTTCTAGATACAACACTTATGTAAACCTAGCATGTAAAACTCAATAAAAAACATATAGCAAGATATGCCAGTTATCACACTTTCCCTAACTCTCAGACAAAAGTGCTAATCATTTGTCATGGAAAGCAATAAATATAGTTATTGTTTATACCATATCTTCAAACAAATAGAATAAGTTCTCATTTGTTGCATGTCATGGGAGTGCTCAATAAATTTCACTGCCACATATTTGAATGAACACCATTGAAAAGCATAATGTCTATAGTGATGTGTGATGATCTGAAAGGACTATCTATCAAATCTGAGCTAAGGAACATTTTCCCATTATGTGCAACCTTGCCCATAGTCTTGACATGGAGTACCGAGATGGATCTTAACAGAAGCTGAATTTGTACACCAAGGTGTACAAGAGCCTGGAAGAAAAATAGTCTAATCCCTGTTATTATTTATGGTGATAAATGCATTAGCTCTGTGTGTGTGTGTGTGAGAGAGAGAATGAGAATGAGAAAAAGTTGCTGCACATTTTTCAAGACTCGTTACAAATGCAGAACATCTTGAAATACAATACAGCAAGATATAGACTAAATTGAAAGATGAAGCAGATGAAATGCCTGTTCTTTAGATAGTGAGGAGGAATGTTTTTAGTGGTTCCCCATTTAGTAAATTTCCTGGAAGAAGCCCGACAATTAGCCTGTTGTATTGGTTTTCTATTTGCATGAAGGTGTCTATGTCTGTCAGTCTACAGAGTCTACAGAGAATGGTTCCCAAATGTGATTCCCTCACTACTGATTGTCTGAAATGGTGCAAGCCATTCAACCCCTTCAGCTGGACACTGTAAGGCAAGTGTAAGGGTAAGGCAGATCTAATAGAGAAAGGAATGCCAGATTAAAGATGAGAAATAAGAAGTACTTGGGTAATGGGGTCTCTGAAGCCAGGAACACCTAGAATATGACATATGGCAACCCGAGTCATCCGTTACATCCCACAAAACAATAAAAACTAATCCTTTTACAAGAAAGGAATTCTGGCAGTAGGCATTAATTTATATATATATATAAAAAGAGTATTACTCTGTATTGCATTGTAGGCAAAGAATCCAGCAGGATCACCATGTAGAGCTCATATTCATTCTGTAGAGAACAGTCAAAGAAGATGAGTGGGAGAGAGTCCTTGTTTGCCAGGCAGTTAAACAAAACCCAAGTTTACTGTAAGATACACCGGAATCAATTCGTCATCCCCAAACTATGATTAAATTATCATAATTCTAAAATAATTTTGCCCACTGAAATACTTAAATATTGCACATTTCTGCCTTTTAATTGATTGATAAATTGGTTGGAGTCTTATGCATGTTTTACAGAAGTAACTCCTACTGTATAAACTTCCTTAAGTATTTATAGGATTTTTGCCTCATTGTCATTATTATTCGTGTATTATCAAGCAAAATTGTTTGTAAGATAAGAGACTGCTAAAATTATGGTGCTATTTAAGCATGAAATATTTAAGCATGAAACCTTCAGCTGTTTAGACACAGGATCCTTCCAAACTGTAATAACATGCCAAAACCTGTATGAGCAAATTACAGTCCAGCAGTATTACAAAAGATCCATGACAGAAATACATACATTCATATCTGCTGTGTCATCTACCTAATGCATAGAAGGTTAGTTCCAGGCTGCAAATCAGACCATGAATATGTCAAGAAGCTAGCAAGGCTCTCTCCTTTCTGCTTCTTTTCTTCACATAGAAATGGACAACAGGGCCTCTAGCTTCAATCCTGGCATTCCAGGACTTTTCCTAACCAGCTCTACCAATGTCCATACAATAATCTTAGCAGAAGAATATATCATTTCTGGTTGCAAGATGCATGCAAAGAATGAGATTATGGGTATTTTATAGAACATAGCTTTTTATTAGTCTTTGCATCCAGTTGGTTGAGCTACTTAAGACATTTTAAACATTAGGAACAACACATACTTTCACTTCCTTCAATATATCACCAAATATCAAGGAACTGTTACAGATATCTTCAAATACTTGACCAATAGCCTCTAATCGATAGAAATGTGGACGTTTGCAGTCACAGATATTCTGGAGTGCCTGAAAGAAAAACCATTTACAAGGCTTTTTTAGTTCTCTTGGCTTGATCTCTATATGCAGCCTATGAAGCAAGTCAACAGATTATGACCAATATATATAAAATTTCTTATTCAAGTTGGAATTTCACTCCTGGTGACTTCCCAGATACATCCACAATGTTTCCTTGGCAACAGTTCAGAAGAGTTTGTCATTGCCTTCTTTCAGCTTGTGGAGCATTTTGTTTTGTTC